GACATTGTAAAGCTCTTTTTGGACATGACAACTTGTACTTCTCATTGTTGATTCCAGGTTGTGTCTGCGTGTGTGTGCGTGCACATACATGTATGCGCACACGCATGCATGTTAATGGAGATTGAATCCAGGGCCTTCAACATGAAGTGTCCTACCACTTGAGCCATGCTCTCAAGTTTTTGGGTTTTGTGGTAGAGTCTAGATAACTACCCAGGCTGGTTCTGAGCTTGCAGTCCTTCTGTTTCAATCAAGTAGCTGGGATTACTGGCATGTAGCACCATACCAGCTTCCAAAAGTAATTTTATATTTTAATATGAGGAAGGAGATGTAGGACTTGAACTTAGGGCTTTATGATCTCCTTTGGCTTTTCACCACTTGACATGCCTCCAGTCCAGCTTTTTTTGCTAGTTAATTAGAATCTCACAGATTTTTTTTTTTTTTTGGTCATGGGGCCTGAACTCTGGACCTGAGCGCTGTCCCTCAATTCTTCCTTCAGCTCAAGGCTAGTGCTCTACTACTTGAGCCACCGTGCCATTTCCGGTTTTCTCTGCTTATGTGGTGCTGAGGAATTGAACCCAACTTCCCAGTCCCTCACAGACTTTTTTGTCCTGTGGGTGTTGGCAGTTTCTTTGAACCATTATCCTTAGATCTCAGCCTCTTGATTAGCTAAAGTTATAAGCATGAGCCACCGGTTCACAGCTTTAATTAAATTTTTTGAGTAAACTAAAAAGCACTGTTGGTAAAAGAAAACCATGGTTGCCGTCATATGAGTTGGTTTTCTTACTCATGTTTGCTGTTTTTAAAGTTCATATTAATATTACCAATGAAAGGTAAAAGGAGTTATTAGCGATCTGTAATGGAACAATTCGTTTTAATCTAATGTGCAAATAGTATTTTGTTCAGTCATTTTTTTTTGTTTTTTTTTCTTTTTTGTCTGTCATGAGGCCTGAACTCTGGGCCTTGGCGCTGTCCCTCAGCTCTTCAGCTCAAGGCTAGTGCTTTACCACTTGAGCCACAGCACCACATCTGGCTTTTTCTGCTTAGAGGACTCGAACCCAGGGCCTCATGTGTGCAAGGCAAGCCCTCTACCACTGAGCCACCTTCCCAGCCCTTTGTTTTTTGTTTTTTTTTTCTTACAGTCATTTTTTTTCTTGATCTAGTCACATTACATTTCTAGTGGATTAGCATTTTTAATTTTATTTTTCCTTACATTGAGGCTTAAGTAGGCTTTAGTTAAAAAAACAAAAGGACTTAGTAAAATTTGGGTTCCAGTTTATAATATTCTGTTCCATAGATTCGCAGACTTTATCTAGTCATTGCTTATGGAGAAAATTAATTCAAGGGCTGGGGCATGGCTCATTGTTAGAGAACATGTCTGGCAAGTTTACAGTTCTGAGTTCAAACCCAAGTACTACCACCAAAAAAAAGAAGAAGAAGAAGAAAATTAATTGTCCTCATGAAGCAGAGATCAGAAAGATTGCCATTGAGGCCAGCTAGGGCAAAAAATTAATGAGATCTCTATCTCAAGCTGAACATTGTTGTTTATACTTGTGATCTCAGCTATGCAGAATGAAAAGGTAGGGAGATTGAAGTCCAAAACCCATCCAGGGCAAAAATGTCTGAAAAATGACAGAAAAAGGTCTGGGAGTATGGCTTGAGTAGTAGAGTTCTTTTTTTTTTTTTGGATCCAGTCGTGGGGCCTGAACTCTGGGCTTGGGCTCTGTCCCTCAGCTCTTCAGCTCAAGGCTAGTGCTCTACCACTTGAGCTACAATGCCACTTCTGGCTTTTTTCTTTTTGCGTATGTGGTGCTGAGGAATCGAACCCAGGGCCTCAGGCATGCAAGGCAAGCGCTCTACCACTGAGCCACCTTCCCAGCCCCAAGTAGTAGAGGTCTTGTCTAGGAAGCTGAAATTCTTGAGTTAAACTCCCAGTACCACAACAACAACAAAAAAGGATTAAATTAAGTGATATACAATAATGCCTTGCCTTAAGAGTTTCTGGAAAGTTGACTGTAAATCATTTTATATTTAAAAGTACCAAGACCTGTAATTCTAGCACTCAGAATGATGCAGGAGGATCTCTAGTTCAAGGCCAGCCTGGACCATATAATGAGATCCTGCCTCATAACAAAAACAAAAATACCAGGGACTATTGTATTTTTAAAAACCTCTAATACGTTATTTTTGAAAAACATTTGTCTGTAAATTCTAACTTTTGTATATTTGTAGGTTTTCTTTTCTTCTTCTTCTTTTTCTTTTTTTTTTTTGTCAGTTGTGGGGCTTGATCTCTTGATCCTGGGCTCTGTCCCTCAGCCCTTCAGCTCAAGACGAGCGCTTTACCACTTGAGCCACATGGTTAATTGAGGATTAGATTCTCACAGACTGGCCTGCTTGGGCTGGCTTTGAACTGTGATCCTCAGATCTCAGCCTCCTGAGTGGCTAGGATTACAGGCACCAGCGCCCAGGTCATAGTTTTTGTATAGGCACAAATTTATTATGAACTGGGGCTACAGAAACAGCATTTTTTTGGGTATCTGCCTAATTTAAAAAGTTGAACTTCTTTTTTTTTTTTTTTTTTTTTGGGTCCGGTTGTGGGGCCTGAACTCTGGGCCTGGGCACTGTCCCTCAGCTCTTCAGCTCAAGGCTAGCGCTCTACCACTTGAGCCACAGCGCCACTTCCAGCTTTTTTCTTTTTGCTTATGTGGTGCTGAGGAATTGAACCCAGGGCCTCAGGCATGCAAGGCAAGAGCCCTACCACTGAGCCACCTTCCCAGCCCAAAAAGTTGAACTTCTTAGCTGATATAACCTACTAATACTATACAGTATGACTCTAGGTGAGGGGGAGTAGGCAAGTATTAAGGATTGAACCCAGGCCCTTGGACCTGGTAGGTAAATGCTCTCTACTACTTACCACTTGAGCTAGGCTTTATCCCTTAGAGTGTGACTTCATCATGTTTTCACTTTATTAAAGATTAGAACAAAAATCTGAAAGTAAACATTGCACATATGGCTGTTTTCTCATGTAGAGAAAAAAAATGTTTCCATCTTCCTTCAATTAAATAAGTAAAAAAAAAAGTTTTAGTGTTAAATGATAAAAACATTTTTATGTAGGATTTAGTTCCTTCAATTTTAAAATTAAGTTTATTTTTAGGATAGTTTTGGTTGTTTGGAAAATTATGAAAATAATACAGAGAATTATATGTCTTCTGCATCTAGTTTTCTCTGTCAGCATCTTACATTAATGTGGTACTTTTGTTGCAGTTAATCAATACTGATACATAATTATTTACCACAGTCCTAAATTTGTTGTGGATTATTTAATCTTTATCTCATTATCATTTTGTGTTCCAGAATCCTATCCTTGATACCACATTCATTACATTTAGTTGTCATGCCCCTTTAGGCTTCCTTATATTGGGCTTTTCTCAGACTTTGTTTTTTATATCATATAATCTATTTTCAGATTGATGTTAGTTCAGAATGGGCTTAAAGTTACAGTTCTCTATAGTTTGTCTTGCTACTTATTTAAAACCCTTTTTTTTCCTTTTCTTTTTTTTTTCTTTTTCTAGTAGGAAAACCATGAAGTCCAGAAGCAGGAGTCCTGCATATTCAAGACACTCATCTTCTCATAGTAAAAAGAAGAGATCCGGGTCTCGAAGTCGTCATTCCAGTATCTCACCTGTCAGGCTTCCATTGAATTCCAGCCTAGGAGCTGAGCTCAGTAGAAAAAAGAAGGAAAGAGCAGCTGCTGCTGCAGCAGCAAAAATGGACGGAAAGGAATCCAAAAGTTCACCTATAATTTTTCCTAAAAAAGAGAACAGTTCAGTAGATGCTAAAGATTCAGGCTTGGAGTCTAAAAAGTTACCCAGAGGAGTAAAATTGGAAAAATCTTCCACAGATACTGAACTGGTAAATGTAACACAATCAAACACGGAGGTAAAAAATTCTTTAGATACAGGGAAGGTAAAATTGGATGATAACTCTGAGAAGCATCTTATAAAGGATTTGAAAGTACAGGGAACAAAAGACTCCAAAACAGTGCCATCGAAAGAGGAGATTGTTTCTCTAAAGGAAACAGAGACCTCAGAAAAGGAAACCCCTCCACCTCTACCCACAATTACTTCTCCTCCTCCTCCTTTACCATCTACTACACCTCCACCTCAGACACCTCCCCTACCACCTTTGCCTCCATTACCAACTATTTCACAACCACCTCTGCCTCCTCCCCAACCAGTATTTAGTCAGGCTGTTGTTTCTAGTACTTCAACTTTGCCTCTTTCTACTCATACAAGTAGGACATCAACTTTGTCCTCTCAGGCAAATTCTCAGCCCCCTGTACAGGTTTCTGTCAAGACTCAAATATCTGTGACAGCTGCTATTCCACATCTGAAAACTTCAACATTGCCGCCTCTGCCCCTTCCACCCTTGTTACCTGGTGATGATGACATGGATAGGTAAGTCCTTAGTAACCTAGGAAAATTAACCCTCTTGATCTAAATAATGTAATTTCTTTGTTGTTGTTATTGTCCTGGGGCTTGAACTCAGGGCCTGGGCTCTGTCCCTAAAGTTTTTTGCTCAAGGCTAGTGCTCTATCACTTGAGCCACAGCTCTATTTCTGGCTTTTTGATAATTAATTTGGGATAAGAATCTCATGGACTTTTCTGCTTGGGCTGACTTTGAACCATGATCCTCAGATCTCAGCTTTCTGAGTAGCTAGGAATGGTAGAAGTGTGAGCCACAAGAGCCTGGCTCCTAAGCTGGTTTTAAACTCATGATCTTCCTGCTTCAGTCTCTCAAATATTGGAGTTATAGTTGTGTGTCTCATGCCTATCCATATTTTCTCTTTTTAAACTTTGTCAAAACCACTCTAATGTCTGGCTGTTTCAAATGCTTTGTGAATGTGAAGTGACTGTTCTTTTTGGTAGAAAAGTCTCTATTTATGATACTATTACTTGGGAAGAGTAGGATTTGAGGCCTAGTAAACCCATTTTTTTCATAGGTTTATTAATAAGGTTAATTTGGTAAAGTTTTTATTAAGTGAGCCACAGGACTGGCAAAAAAAAAAAAAAGAACTGAAATACTATGAATCATGATTTTTTTTTTTGCAGGGTGGGATGGAAGTAGTTCTGGGTTTTAAATTCAGAGCTTTGTGCTTACTAGGCTGATGCACTACCACTGAGCAATACTAAGCATAGATCTGATACTATGGAAGGAACTTGGAAGGAATTAGGAACTATAATCAATTGGCAAAATGGCCAAAAAAATTACAAAAATTAGCATGCCCATATACTATGGCAATGTTTGTGTTACGGGCTTTTTTTTATTGAGTCTACCTTCTATTCTCTAGGGTATATGTGGCATGTATTGCAACAAATTTTTCATTGTAAGCACAAAAATAAGTGCTGTTAATTTTATATCCCCCAAAAAATCCCAGTCCTCTATTACTTTCATTTTTTTTTTTTATTGGTCATGGGGCTTGAACTCTGGACTTGGGCGCTGTCCCTGTGCTCTTCAGCTCAAGGTGAGCACTCTATGGCTTGAGCCACAGCACCACTTCTGGTTTTTGAGTGGTTTATTGAAGATAAGAGTCTCGGGGTTTCCTGCCTGGGCTGGCTTTGAACCTTGATCCTCAGATCTCAGCCTCCTGAGTAGCTAGGATTACAGGCGTGAGCCACTGGTGCCCAGCTAAACCTCTATTACTTTCTAGGTGACATCAGTAGTTTGAATGATGGTTCACTTTAGCCTTGAGGTCTATTCAGAACATAGGAAGTATAAGTATAGTATGGACAGAACAATAAGGAAAAGATTATTTTACTTGCTCATGGTTGGCACTCTATCAGTTGAGTCCTGTTCTAGTTTGCCATTTTGTTGGTTAATTTGAGATAAAGTCTTAATGCCCTGATTTCAAACCATGATCCTCTAGGTCTCAGCCTCCTGGGTAGGTAGACTTACAGGCTTGACTCATCAGTGCCTGGATTTATTTTGAGCCAAGGTCCTGCAGTTGTTGCTTGTCGTGTCCTCAAGCTGCTAGGCTCAAGTCATCCTTCTTCAGCTGATGCGATGCCCACCAGAACTGAGTTAAAGCCTCTGAGACTACAGATATACATCACTATAGCTATCTATGGAGTATTTTAAAGAATGATTCTGAGCCAGGTGCCAGTGGCTCATGTTTGTAATCCTGACTACTCAGGAGGCTGAGATCTGAGATGAAAAGCAAGCCCAGGCAGGAAAGTCCATGATACTCTTATTTCTAATTAACCACCAAAATGATGAAAGTGGAGCTGTGGTTCAAGTGGTAGAATATTATCCTTGAGTAAAAAAGCTTAGGGACAGCTAGCACTTGTGTTTCACACCTGTAATCCTAGCTACTCAGTAGGCAAAATATCTGAGTGTTGCAATTCGAAGCCAAACACAAGCAGAAAAGTTTGTGAAGCTCTTTATCTCCAATTGAAGCACTAAAGAAGTGGAGCAGTGACTGGCTCAAATGGAAGATTACTAGCCTTGAGCAAAAAGGAACAACTCCCAGGCTCTGAATTCAAGCCCTCAAACCTCCTCCCACAAAATAACTCAGGGACAGAACTCAGGCTCTGGGGTTCAAGCCCAAGACTAGCACAAAAATAAAATGAATGAGCATAAGAATGACTTCATTACTAATAATAGTGGCCAATCTGATTTTCTTTTTTTATTTTTATGTGCTGGTCCTGGGGCTTGAACTCAGGGCCTGGCACAGTCCTTGAGCTTTTGTGCTCAAGAGTAGTGCTCTACCACTTAACAACAGCTCCACTTTTTTGGGTGGTTAATTGGAAATAAGAATCTAATTGAGTTTTCTTCTCAAATTGGCTTCAAGCCATAATTCTCAGATCTCAGCCTCTTTAGTAGCTAGGATGACAGGAGTGAGCTGTATTGCCCAGCTTCAATCTGATTTTTTTTTTGGGGGGGGGGTCCGGTCTTGGGGCCTGAACTCTGGGCCTGGGCGTTGTCTCTCAGCTCTTCAGCTCAAGGCTAGCGCTCTACCACTTGAGCCACAGCCCCACTTCCGGCTTTTTTCTTTTTGCTTATGTGGTGCTTAGGAATCCAATCCAGGGCCTCAGGCATGCAAGGCAAGCGCTCTACCACTGAGCCACCTTCCCAGCCTCTTCAATCTGATTTTTAATGAAAAGTTTCACATTATTTCTAATATAAATAGGTATATATTAAGTCTCTCACTTGAGGACTTAGAAAAAACAGAATCTTTTCATGTAGAAAAATTTTTAGAAGCCAGGCTCTGTGGCTCACACCTGTCATCCTAGCTACTAGGAGGCTGAGATCTTAGGATCAGGGTTCAAAGTCAGCCCGGGCAGGAAAGTCCATGAGACTCTTTATCTCCAATAAACCACTAGAAAACAGGGAGTGGTACCGTGGCTCAAGTGGTAGAGTGCTCGCTTTGAGGTGAAGAGTACAGGGACAGCGCCCAGGCCCAGAGTTCAAGCCTCATGACCGACAAAAAATAATAAATAAATAAAAATATATATAATATTTTTCTTGTTTCTTCTTTTTGTCAGTCATGAATTGCAGGCATGAGCCACTAGTGCCTAATTCAGAAGGTTTTTTTTGTTGTTTCTTTTTTGTTGGTCAAGGGTCTTGAACTCTGGGCCTGGGCGCTGTCCTTTAGCTCTTCAGTTCAAGCCTAGTGCTCTACCACTTGAGCCATTGCACCACTTCTGGCCTTTTCTGTTTATGTGATGCTGAGGAATCGAACCCAGGGACTCATGCATGTGAGGCAAGCACTTTACCACTGAGCTACCTTCCTAGCCCCAGAAGTTGTTTTTGTTTTTGGCCAGTCCTGGGGTTTGAACTCAGGCCTGGGCTTTGTCCATAAGCCTCTCTCTCATAGATAATAATCTATATAGGGCTATGAGAAAAATACTTCTGAGTGGGCTGCAAATGTGGTTTAGTGGTAGAGTGCATGAAGCTCTGGGTTTGATCCCTCAGTACCACATACACAGTAAAAGCCAGAAGTGGCACTGTGGTTCAAGTGGTAGAGCACTAGCCTTGAGCAAAAAAAGCTCAGGGTCAGTACCCAAGCACTGAGTTCTAGCCCCAGGACTGGCCAAAAATATATATATATCTGAAGTATAACATGTCAGAGTAGAATGCAGGTTTCTAGAGGTGGAATAATTCTAATAAAATACATGTATCTTTCAGATTAGAGATGAAGGTAAACTAAGAGTATTCATTGCTTACTTGTGTGTGTGGCAGTAAAGAGTTAGCTTTTTTGTCGGTTGTGGGCTTGAACTCTGGGCTTGGGCGCTATTCCTCAGCTCTTCAGCTCAAGGCCAGCGCTTTACCACTTGAGCCACAGCGCCACTTCCAGTTTTCTAGTGGTTTATTGGAGATAAGAGTCTCACGGACTTCCCTTTCCTGGGCCGACTTTGAACCGTGATCCTCAGATCTCAACCTCCTCAGTGGCTAGGATTACAGGTGTGAGCCACTGGCGCTGGGCTTGAGTTAGCTTTCTTAATATGTTGAGAAGATAAAGTGAACAAAACTTACTTTTTTTGTTTTGTTTTGAATTCTTTTTAAACTTATTGTTTTGTTGTATATTGATTCTGATCCTGAAAATGTCTTTTCTTTTTTTTTTTTTCTTTTTGGGGTCCGGTTGTCGGGTCTGAACTCTGGGCCTGGGTGCTGTCCCTTAGCTCTTCAGCTCAAGGCTCGCGCTCTACCACTTGAGCCACAGTGCCACTTCCGGCTTTTTTCTTTTTGCTTATGTGGTGTTGAGGAATCGAACCGAGGGCCTCATGCATGCAAGGCAAGCTCTTTACCACTGAGCCACCTTCCCAGCCAAATGTCTTATTTTCTTGGTCAATGTACTTATATTTAAATGTGATTATCAGTTGTTTTCCATATGTACATAAATTATTGAAGGTAAAAAGATGGAAATTAAGATTTCTTCTATTATCAGTTATATAATATATATGTATGTAATATATAAAAATGCGTATTTATATACACATACATAATGTCAATCCTGGAGCATTTTTTCTTTGTTTGTTTTTTTTTTTTGGTCCAGTCGTGGGGCCTGAACTCTGGGCCTGGGCGCTGTCGCTCAGCTCTTCAGCTCAAGGATAGTGCTCTACCACTTGAGCCACAGTGCCATTTGTGGCTTTTTTCTTTTTGCTTATGTGGTGCTGGGGAATCGAACCCAGGGCCTCAGGCATGCAAGGCAAGCGCTCTACCACTGAGCCACCTTCCCAGCCCCTGGAGCATTTTTTTCTATTGTATCCATGTGCCAGCCGTTCCTATGTTTGACATAAAAAATAGTTTTGTTTTATACAAAATCTTTGCTGCTTAGGCATGAGTGGCTTGTGCATTTAATTCTAGCTACTTAGGAGGCTTGAGATCTGAGGGCTGTGGTTCAAAGCCAGCCCAGACAGGAAAGTCAGTGATACTTTTATCTACAAGTAAGGCACCCCCCACCCCCTGCAAAATGGAACTGGTTTGAGCAAGCTTTGAGCAAGAAAGTTCAGAGTTCAAGCCTCAGGACCCCTCCTTCATACCCCACTGAAAGAACTTTGCTAAAAGACAACTTAAAGCTAGATAAAAGATTCATTTATTTTCCTTACAACTTTTTCTTCTTGAGACTACAACAGCTTAAATTAAGAGAATATGGCATACATATCTTTTTATTGCCTAAAACACAGAATATAATCAATAAATTGTGCTTATTGTGAGTAAAAAGCCAAACAAGTGTGTGTGAGGCCATGAGTTAAAGTCCCAGTAATGGCACAAAAAAATAAAATAGATATTGTAAGGGATGTTATTCCCTTACTATTCCTTATAGTTCTAGGAATGGAATTACTCAGGTAAAACATCTTTCATGGACGTGTGTGTGTGTGTGTGTGTGTGTGTGTGTGACTTTTCATTAGCTTCTTGAGTAGTAGTATTATAAGCATGAGCCACTGACACCTGTCTTTTATGACTTTTTTTTTAATTGGAGGACATTGGAAGGGTGTTGAAATTCTTAGCTCTCTTTAACCTTCTGTTAACATGAGGGACCAGAAAAGCCTCATTTAAGCCAGAAGAGGAGGTATGGTTCAGATGGTAGAGCACAAGCAAGCCTCCAGTGGAAAAAGCAAGAGATTAGTTGTAAGTTCAAGCCCCAATACCTGTACAAAAGGTGTGTGTGTGTGTGTGTGTGTGTGTGTGTGTATGTGTGTTTATTCCGAGAAAACTGCTATTGTTCCCAATCTGACAACTGTGATTGGCAGGTTTTGTGAATCCTGCTACCAGTTGTCTTAATGATTCTCAGGTTGGTGTTTGGACCCTTTTTCTTTATTATATTTTTAGGCTGAGATTTGTTTTTCAGATTACTGTTAGTTGACAATTTCCAAATAAATAGGGTGATTTCAAACAATTTTTAATTAGTTTTAATGTATTCTTGTTAAATACAAATACTGTTTCCTTTTCCTAAGTTCTTTCCATATTATTAGTAATAGATTTTTGTTAAATTGTTGGGCTCTTGTCCATTGTTTAATGAGTAGGCTTCCTGAATTATGAGTTAGAGTGATACTTGGTAAATATTTTTTTCTTCATCTCAGTAGAAATCTATAATCTTAGGAAGAATGAAATTTGGTAAAGGAAAGGTGGGTGCTGGTGGCTTATGCCTGTAATCCTAACTTCACAGAGGCTGAAATCTAAGGATTGCAGTTTGAAGCCAGCGTGGACAAGAAAAGTTTATGACTTTTTTTTTGGTCCATTGTGGGGCTTGAACTCTGGGCCTGAGCACTGTCCTTGAGCTCTTCAGCTCAAGGCTGGAGCTCTATCACTTGTGCCACAGTGCCACTTCCAGTTTTCTGAGTGGTTTATTGGAGATAAAAGTCTTTCAAGGACTTTGCTGCCCAAGTTGGCTTTGAACCTCCACCCTCAGATCTCAGCCTCCTGAGTAGCTAGGATTACAGGCAGGAGCCACTGGCACCCACCCAATAAGACTTTTATCTCCAGTTAGCAAAATACTGGAAGTGAAGCTGTGGCTCAAGTGGTAAAGCAGTAACTAGCCTTTAGCACAAAAGCTCAGGGACAGTGCTCAGGCCCAGAGTTCAAACCCACAACTAATTCTCTGGTTCTTTCTCTCTCTCACTCTGTCTCTCTCTCTTTCTCTCTCTCTCACACACACACACACACACACACAAATTCAAATTGATAAAGGAATGACCATATCCGAAATTTTTACTTATAATTTTTTCCCCATGTGTTTGGTTTTCTTCTTTTTTTCTTTTTCTTGTCAGTCATCAGATTTGAACTTGGTGCATGGGCACTGTCCCTGAACTTTGAGCCACGGCTCCACTTCTGTTTTTTTGGTGATTAAGAGTCTCATGGACTTTCCTACCCAGACTGGCTTTGGACCTTAATCCTCAGATCTCAGCTTCCTAAGTAGCTTAAGGTTACAGATATGACCCACCAGTGCCTGGTTTAGATGACTTTAGATGTGGTAAACAGTTACATTGATACTACTTTTATATTATAGTTTTTTTGTTTATTTGAAATATCAGATATTAAATCTTTCAAAAGTGATTCCTTCTGTAAACCTACCTACTCTGATGGCAGAGATCTGAGGATCGTGGTTTGAAACCAGCCTGCAGGAAAGTCCATGAGGCTCTTATCTCCAATTAACCACCAGAAAACCTGTGATAGAGTGCAAAAAGAGCTCAAGAATAGTGCCAGGCCCTGAGTTAAAGTCCCGTGACAGACCAAAAAATAAAAAATACTAAAACCAAAACACTAAAAATAGAAGTGAGGGGCTGGGAAGGTGGCTCAGTGGTAGTGCGCTTGCCTTGCATCCATGAGGCCCTGGGTTCCATACCTCAGCACCACATAAGCGGAAAGAAAAAAGCCGGAAGTGGCATTGTGGCTCAAGTGGTAGAGCGCTAGCCTTGAGCTGAAGAGCTGAGGGACAGCGCCCAGGCCCAGAATTCAGGCCCACAACCTGACCCAAAAAAATAATAAATAATAAATAAAAATAGAAGTGAGCAGGCTGCAAAGGTGGCTCAGTGGTAGAAAGCTTATCTCACATGCATGAGTCCCTGGGTTGGATTCCTCAGCATCACATAAACAGAAAAGGCCAGAAGTGGCGCAGTGGCTCAAGTGGTATAGCACTAGGCTTGAACTGAAGAGCTGAAGGACAGCGCCCAGGCCCAGAGTTCAAGCCCTTTGACCGACAAAAAAGAAAGAAACAAAAAAAAAACAACAATGAAAAAAAAATAGAAGTAAGTTTCAGTAAAGCTAGGAGGGCTGCCCAGGCACTGAGTTTAAGCTCTAGTATCAGCACCAAAAAAATAAATTTCCATCAGTCTTATTAAATAGAAAAGCATCTGATTAAATAGAAAAGCACCGGTATTATAAGGGATTTGTTTTGTTTTCTTTTTTTGTTTTTGCCAGTGCTGGGGCTTGAACTCAAGTTTCTTTTGCTCAAGGCTAGCACTCTACCACTTGAGCTACAGTGCTACTTCTGGCTTTTTCTGTATATATGGTACTAAGGAATCGAACCCAGGGCTTCACCCATGTGAGGCAAACACTCTACCACTAAGTCACATTCCTAGTCCAATACTGTCAGTATAACAGAAATAATTCAGTTAAATTTGTGACTGACATTTCTTAAATTTAACAGGTTATTTTTGTTTTGTTTTGCTGTTTCTCTGTTCTGATACTGAGCTTGAACTCATGATCTCCTGCTCTGGCTTGGCTCTTTCACTCAAGGCTGGTACTCTACCACCTTCTCTTTTGGCTTTTTGAAGGTTAATTAAAGAGAAGTGTTTTAGGGACTTTCCTTCCCAGGCTGGCTTTGAAATATCCTGCCAGGGTGCTGGTGGCTCATGCCTGTAACCCTACCTACTCAGGAAGCTGAGATCTGAGGATCATGGTTCAAAGCCAGCCTAGGCAGGAAAGTCCTTGAGAGTCTGGCAGCTGGCTTGGCAAGTTTGTTTGTTTGTTTGTTTTTGGTTGGTCGTGGGGCTTGAACTCTGGGCCTAGGCGCTGTCCCTGCACTCTTAAGCTCAAGGCAAGCGCTCTACCTCTTGAGCCACAGTGCCACCTCCGATTTGGTTTTCCAGTGGCTTATTGGAGATCAGAGTCTCACAGACTTTTCTGCCCGGCTGGCTTTGAACCATGATCCTCAGATCTCAGTCTCCTGAGTAGCTAGGATTACAGGCATGAGCCACCAGTGCCCAGCTCTTGGCAGGTTTTTTAAAAAATAAAATCTTCATTTATCAAGACCATGAGTTTATATTTCAGCTTCATAAATAAATACACAAACAACTCATATGGTGGTTTACCCCTGTAATCCTAATTACTCAAGGTGGAGATTAGGAAGATCATAGTTTGAGACTAGTCCAGAGAAAAAGGTTCACAAGACCACCTTCTCAACAAATGGAAAGTTAAGTGTGATGGCCATATGTCTTTCATCCCTGCCACATGGAAGTGTAAATATAGGATCAGACTAACCCTGTGGTGAATACTAGGATTCTTTAGGAAAATAAAGTCAGTAGATAAAGTGCCAGCTCAGCAAATATAAGGCTTTGAGTTCAAATCCTAATAGCACAAAAAAAGTAAAAACTTTATAATCTTAATAGCTTGGCATATTCTTTTTTTAATAGCAAAATCTTAAGTAATTATAACTTTTTTTCTCTTTTCCTCTGTTTAGTCCAAAAGAAACACTTCCTTCAAAACCTGCAAAGAAAGAGAAGGAACAGAGGACACGTCATTTACTCACAGACCTCCCTCTTCCTCCAGAGCTCCCTGGTGGGGATTCATCTCCCCCAGACTCTCCAGAGCCAAAAGCAATTACACCACCTCAGCAACCATATAAAAAGAGACCAAAGTAAGTTTTTGGAGTTATCCACCCTTAATTATTCTTAAATTTTATCCTTGCTTGTGGCCCAACTATCACCTTTCTTCCAAAACCTATGTAGTAAGATTATAGAAGTTTGATCCTATTTTGTATTTTTATGGACAAAAGCCTTTCTACAAAGGCTTTTGCATCCATAGACACTGTTTTCAGAAAAGCAAATACCCAAGTCTAGATATATAATCTTATGCTTTGTTTTGTTTTCTGAAACTGGAATATGAACATTGTACCTCATGCTTACTTGGCTTGCGTATTTGAGCTATGTCTCTGGACAAGGTTTTTGCTGGTTATTTTGGAGAAGATGTCTCTTGGATTTTCTGGGCAGTCTGGCTTTGAATTGATCCTCTGGATTTCAGCTTCCTGAATAGCTAGGATTACAGGTGTGAGCAAAAAGTTGAAAAAAAAAATAAAACAGGGGGCTGGGAAGGTGGCTCAGTGGTAGAGCGCTTGCCTTGCATGCATGAGGCCCTGGGTTCGATTCCTCAGCACCACCTATGCAAAAAGAAAAAAAAAAGCTGGAAGTGGCGCTGTAGCTCAAGTGGTAGAGCGCTAGCCTTGAGCTGAAGAGCTGAAGGACAGCGCCCAGGCCCAGAGTTCAGGCCCCACGATGGACCCCAAAAAAAAAAAACAAACAAACAGGTGCTGGTGGCTCATGCCTGTAATCCTAGCTACTCAGGAGGCTGAGATCTGAGGATCATGGTTCAAAGCCAGCCCGGGCAGGAAAGTTTGTGAGATTCTTATCGCCAATAAAACCACTAGAAAACCGTAAGTGGCGCTGTGGCTCAAGCGGTAGAGCACTCGCCTTGAGCTGAAGAACGCAGGGACAGCGTCCAAGCCCAGAGTTCAAGCCTCACAATGGACCAAAAAAAAAAAAAGTTTCAATTTAGAATATATCAACTATATGCACATTAATAATAAATTAAGGGCTGAGAAGGTGGCTCAGTGGTAGAGTGCTTGCCTTGCATGCATAAGGCTCCAGGTTCGATTCCTCAGCACCACATAAGCAGAAAAAGCTGGAAGTGGCGCTGTGGCTCAAGTGGTAGAGCACTAGCCTTGAGCTGAAGAGCTGAGGGACAGTGCCCAGGCCCAGGGTTCAGGCTCCACGACCAGCAAAAAAAAAAATTAATTAATTAATTAATTAATAAGTCAGACTTTTAAGCTTTTGTCTCATATAAATGACTACATTTATATATTTTTTTTTCTTTTTTTTTCTCCCAGTCCTGGGGCTTGAACTTGGGGCCTGGGTACTGTTCTTGAGCTTTTTTTGCTCAAGGCTTGCACTCTACCACTTGAGCCACAACGCCACTTCTGGCTTATTCTGTTTATGAAGTACTGAGGAATCAAACCCAGGGCTTCATGCATGCTAGGCATTTCATGCATGCTAGGCAAGCACGTTACCACTAAGCCACATTACTAGCCCAACATTAATATATTATGAGCTGATTCTGATCTTATGATTGTTAATATTTTTCTCTTTATAAAAATAGTTGCCACTTACTTTATAGATATTATTAGTGTGGGCTGGGAAGGTGGCTCAGTGGTAAAGCATTTGCCTTGCATGCATGAGGCCCTGGATTTGATTCCTCAGCACCACCTATGCAAAAAGAAAAAAGCCGGAAGTAGCATTGTGGGTGGCTCAAGTGGTAGAGCGCTAGCCTTGAGCTGAAGAGCTGAAGGACGGTGCCCAGGCCCAGAGTTCAGGCCCCACCACTGGACCCAAAAAAATATATAGATATAGATATTATTAATGGTTCTGAGTACTGAGCTCAGATTCCTGTACATGCCAGGCAAACTCAACCACTGAGGTACATTCCTATTTTATAGATGTAGCCACTTCTTGAGAGTTCAGAAAGTAAGCAACAAGCTGGGTGCCAGTAGCTCGCACCTGTAATCCTAGCTACTCTGGAGGCTGAGATCTGAGGATCACAGTTCAAAGCCAGCCCGAGCAGAAACGTACCTGAGATACTTTTCTCCAATTAACCACCAGGAAACCAGAGTTGTGCTGTAGCTCAACTGGTAGAGCACTTTTGCCTTGAGTTGAAGAGCTCAGGGACAGCACCCAGGCCCAGAGTTTATGCCCCATGGCTGACAAAAAAGAAAGAAAATAAGCAAGCAACAAATGTATTGTTTGATCCTATTTTTCTGAAGCCAGATTTTGTCTTAGATACTGTGAAAGACTGCTTAAAGTACTTTATATCATTTCAATAACAGAAGAGCCACGGAAATCTAACTAAAAAACAACTTTTGCTGTTTTTATTTTAGAATTTGTTGTCCTCGTTATGGAGAAAGAAGACAAACAGAAAGTGATTGGGGGAAACGCTGTGTGGACAAGTTTGACATAATTGGGATTATTGGAGAGGGAACCTATGGCCAAGTATATAAAGCCAAGGACAAAGACACAGGTAAATAAATGTGCTACCAAGCTGAGCGCTGTTGGCTCATGCTTGTAATCCTAGCTGTCCAGAAGGCTGAGATCTGAGGATTGTGGCTCAAAGCCAATCAGGGCAGGAAAGCCTATGATACTCTTATCTCCAATTAACTACCAGACAACTGGAAGTGGCACTTTGGCTAACGTGGTGGAGCACTAGTCTTGAGCGAAAAGAGCTCAGAGATAGCATCCAGGCCCCCTGTTCAAGCCCCACAACTGACTGAAAAAAAATGTTGCCTCAAATTCCTGTTTTTCTTGCAAATACTGAGATTAAACTCAGAACTTCACATTTGCAAGGCAGATAGTTTACCACTTGAGCCATGCCCCCAAGCCTGTGCCACAGAATCCTTGATATCAGAAACTTAGCAATTTATCAATACTAATGTTTTAAATGAATTTAGTAAAAGTAAGTTTTATGTTCTAAGTTTGTCTCTGAAAGAAATTTTTCACAAAAATAATAACCAGCCAGGCACTCAGGAGGCTGAGATCTGAGGATCATAGTTCAAAGCCAGCCCTGGCAGGAAAGTCCGGGAGACTCTTATCTCCAATAAAACCACTAGAAAACCACAAGTGGGGGCTGGGAAGATGGCTCATTTGTTCAAGGCTAATAATGGTCTATGACTTTGAGCCACAGCTTCACTTCTGTTTTTTTTGGTGAGTTATTTTTTGTTTTGTTTTGGGGTTTTGGTTTTTTTTTGTCCAAAGCTAGTGCTCTACCACTTGAGTCACAGCTCCACTTCTGGCTTTTTTGGTGATTAGAGATAAGAACCTTGGATGGTTTTTGAACTATGATCCTCAGATCGCAGTTCTGAGTAGCCTCCTGAATAGCTAGGATAACAGACATAAGCCATTAGCACCTGGCCATCAGAGCCAGACTTTTAATATGTAATACAAGGCATAATAGTAAGTAAATAATTTTTATACTTTAAAGATGAGTCAAAAAGTCTGCACATGTTCAGTACAGATAAAGTATTTTCTTCATTCAAATATTTTTAATATATTTATTTGGAATTGCAGATATACAGGACTATCTGTATATTATTATATTAAAACTCTCCAGGGGGCTGGGAAGGTAGCTCAGTGGTAGAATACTTGCCTTGCATGCATGATGGTCTGGGTTCGATTCCTCAGCACCACAAAAGCAGGAAAAGCTGGAAATGGCTCTGTGGCTCAAGTGGTAAAGCACTAGCCTTGAGCTGAAGAGCTGAGGGACAGTGCCTGGGCCCAGAGTTTAGGCCCTATGACCAACAGAAAAATAAAAATAAAACTCTCTAGGGACTGGGAATATGGCTTAGTGGTAGAGTGCTTGCCTAGAATACATGAAGCCCTGGGTTCCTCAATTCCATAGAAATAGAAAAAGCCGGAAGTGGCACTGTGGCTCATGTACCAAAAAGAAAACTCAGGGACAGTGCCCAGGCCCTGACTTCCAAGTCCCAAGACTGGCAAAAAGAAAACAAAACCAAAAACTCTCCTGATGGGCTCAGTGGTTGAACACTTGACTAGCATTTGTGAGAAACTGGGTTCAGTCCCCAGCACATAGGGTGGGGAGGATCCTCCTTTTTTCTTCTTCTTCTTTTTTTGGTCGTTTGTGGGGCCTGAACTCTAAGCCTGGGCATGCACTGTCCCTCAGCTCTTCAGCTCAAGGCTAGTGCTCTACCACTTGAGCCACAGCACCATTCTGGCTTTTTCTGCTTATGTGGTGCTGAGCAATCGAACCCAGGGCCTTATGAATGTAAGGCAAGCACTCTACCACTGAGCCGCCTTCCCAGCCTGGGGATCCTCCTTTGTTGTTTTTCATTATGATGTTTTTTGTTTTGGGTTTTTGTTTGTGTATGTGTATGAGGTGGTGGGGATTGAACCCAGGGCCCCTAGGGCCCCAAGTATGCTCAGAAAGCACACTATCAGCTGAGCATGGCATATACTTGTAACCCTAGCCACTAAGGAGGCTGTGATCTGAGGGTTGAGCTCAAAGACCAAGTGGGAAAGTCCATGAGATTCTTATCTCCAGTTAATTACCAGAAAAAGGAAGTAGAGCTGTGGCTCAAAGTAGTTTAAAAAAAAAAAGAAAAGAAAGCACACTATTACTGAGTTGTAACCTTGTCCTTTTTTGTTGTCCATTCTAAACATTTATAGCTTCCTAGGAATTTTGAAGAGGATAAAAAAAAACAAAAACAAAAAACATGAGCAGGGCACTGGTGGCTCATACCTGTAATCCTAGCTACTGAAGAGGGTGAAATCTGAGTATCTCGGCTTGAAACCACCCTCCTGCAGATAATCTATCACACTCTTATCTCAGTTTAACCAGCAAAAAGCTTGTATTTGAGAGCTGTGGCTCAAATGTTAGAACTCTAGCCTTGAGTGAAGAAGCTAAGTAAGAGTTTCTGGCATCTAAGTGCTGTTGCCTCATGACTGTAATCCTAGCTATTGGGTGGAGATCTGAGGATTGAGGTTCAAAGCCAGCCTGGGCAGAATAGTCTGTGAGACTTACCTCTAGTTAAGCACTCATCCACTCCCACTGGCTCTAGTAGAATACCCAGCCTTGAATGAAAAAGCCAAGGGAGAGTGTTTGGTCCTGAGTTCAAGCCCCAGTACCATTTTCAAAAAAAAAAGGAAGGGGAAGAGGAAGGGGGGGGGGAATGAAAGGGAAGGGAAGGAAAGAAAGAGAAAGAAAAAGAAAAGAAGAAAGACTGAAAGGCAAGCTAATATAGTTGGGGGTGTGACTCAACTGTTAAAACTCTTGCTGGAGGGCTTGGGAAGGTGGCTCAGTGGTAGAGCGCTTGCCTTGCATGCATGAGGCCCTGGGTTCGATTCCTCAGCACCACATAAGCAAAAAGAAAAAAGCCGGAAGTGGCGCTGTGGCTCAAGTGGTAGAGCGCTAGCCTTGAGCTGAAGAGCTGAGGGACAGCGCCCAGGCCCAGAGTTCAGGCCCCACGACCTGATCCAAAAAAAAAAAAAAAAAAACTCTTGCTGGATATATGTGAGGACCTGCACTTCAACCCCAGAATCACTGAGAGAATTTATGCTTCACATGTACCTGGCCCAAAGTTCAGGTCCCATGACTCAAATAAAAGGACCAGAACCTTAAAAAAAATTAAAATAGATATTAAGTCTGAGAGAGCAAGGAATGGTTTATGATGATAGCTTAAAATGATAATTGATAATGATAATAACTTGAATTTGTTTTGGCAGGAGAACTAGTAGCTCTGAAGAAGGTGAGACTAGACAATGAGAAAGAAGGCTTCCCAATTACAGCCATTCGTGAGATCAAAATTCTTCGTCAGCTAATCCACCGAAGCGTTGTTAACATGAAGGAAATTGTGACAGATAAACAAGATGCACTGGATTTCAAGAAGGACAAAGGTACTAGAAAGCAGTTTTCTACAGGGTTGATTGGTACAAATTAATTTTTCTTACTTCCTGACTGTGGGGAGTTTTATTTTTCCAGAACTGGGGTTTGAACTGAGGGCCATTATGCTTGCTGGGTAGGCACTCTACCCCTTCAGCCATACCTTCAGTTTCTATAGGAACTTTATCAGTTGTACAAGGGGGATTTAGTTGAGACATTTCCATACATGCATACAATGTACCCTGTCAACCTCAATCTCTTCTGCCTCTATCACATACCCTCTTGTTACTCTGTCACAATCTGGGAACTTTTTAAATATTATACTAAAGTCTAACTTTCTGATCCATGTTGGAATTACAGTGTTGGCAGAGGAAGCTGAGTGTGGTGGGGCATTCTGTAATCCCAGCGCTGAATTAGGAAAAATCAAATGGTCAAGGCAAGCCTATACTAATAGTGAGTTCAAGGCTTAGTTGGCTATATATGGAGACCTGTCCTTTAAAAAAAAAGAAAATAGTAGATTGCTTTATATTAATTACTGCTGATTTTATAAAATATTCCTTCATTAATAAATACTTTATACTTTTTTTGTGGGGGTGGGGGGCAGTCCGGGGCTAGAACTCAGGCCCCAGGTACTGACCCTGAGCTTCTTTTCTCAGTGCAAAAGCGCACACTCAAGCCACAGCACCACTTTTGGCTTTTTCTGTTACATGGAACTGAGGAATCAAACCTAGGGCTTCTTGTATGCCAGATCAACACTCTGCCACTAAGCCACATTCACAGCCCAACACTTTATACTTTTAAAAGTCATTAGTAAATATGCTTTAGGTAATTGGAATCTGCTGTAAACACTCAATAAAGTCAGCAGATAAACAACATTAAATTATCTTCCAATCATTCCTAGGATTTTTTGTTTTGTCTTGTTTTTTGGGGGGGGAGGGTTTGTAGTTGTAGGGCTTGAACTCTGAACCTGGGCGCTGTCCCTGAGCTCTTCAGCTCAAGTCTAGTACTCTACCACTTGAGCCACAGCACCACTTCCAGTTTTCTGGTGGTTAATTAGAGATAAGAGTGTCATGGAGGGCTGGGAAGGTAGCTCAGTGGTAGAGCGCTTGCCTTGCATGTATGAGGCCCTGGGTTCGATTCCTCAGCACCACATAAACAAAAAGAAAAAAGCCGGAAAGTGGCGCTGTGGCTCAAGTGGTAGAGCGCTAGCCTTGAG